GCTACCCAAAACAGGAAAAGATGTCAAACCCCACACCAAGTGTCATGTGGCAGGATGGAGAAGCACCAAAAAACACCCAAAAGAAATTTTGGATACCTCGAGAGAAGTCAATGTCACTGTGATAGACCGAAAAACATGCAAAAATGAAAAGCATTATAATTTCAAGTCAATTATTGACAAAAGCAGCATCTGTGCTATCAGCACAAAAAGTAAAGCTTGTTCATGTGAAGTAAGTAAATTAAAAATTCAAACCATTCTTTGGCTATAGAAAATAAAGTTAAAATAGAGTGCCTAGGAAGAACAAGAGGAGCCCTGGTGGTGCAGTGGTTAAGCACTTGGCTGCTAACCAAAACATCGGCAGTTCAAACCCACCCACAAGCTGCTCAGCACGAGAAAGATGTGTTAGTCTACTTCCGTAAAGATTACAGCCTTGGAAATTCTATGAGGCAGTTCTACTCTGTCCTATAGAGTCACTATGAGTCAGAATTGACTCGATGGCAGTGGGTTTGGTTTTGTTTTTGTTTTGGGGAGGAAGAACAGGGTGGACAATCATTATTACTTTTTACATAGAAGGCCTGCAAGGAATACTGTTTGGCACTGATGTGGTGGTGGTGTGTGCTCCTTTGTCCAGTGAGAATCCTTCTGCTCAAGGAGCATTTCTTCTTTACTGACGGTAATTTCAGGATACCGTTTAACCACCGTTCGCAAATTCTCGCCAGCCCTCTCAATAATAATGACAGCTGGCATTTTTCATGTCCCAGGAACTACCAAGTTCTTTATTATGCCATTTAATCCTCAGATAACCCCATGAGAAAACCACTATTATTATCATCCCTATTTTTACTAACCAGTTGCTGTCGAGTCGACTCCAACTTATGGAACCCGATGTGTGTCAGAGCAGAACTGTGATCCATAGGGTTGTCAATGGTTGATTTTTCAGAAGTAGAACACCAGGCCTTTCTTTTGAGGTATCTCTGGGTAGACTCGAACTTCCAATCTTTTGGTTAGCAGGACAGCAAATTAACTGTTTGTACCATCCAGGGACTTACAGATGAGGAAATCAAGGCATAGAAAGTTACTTCCTAAGTTAAATAAACTATCGGTGGGGTAGATCTGGATTTGGACCCAGGCCATCCGACTCTCAATTCCTATACTCTTTTGCCTCTCATGTGCCAAGAACAGCCTTGGCCAGGGTTGGACCTGTTTAGAATTCAAGGCCCAGAGGCAGTTTTACAAGGTTGGAGAGAACATGAAATGAAGGCTGATGGATCTGGGGATGAATCTCTAAAGATTGTATGAAATAGCACAAAGTACTCCTTGGCCTGAGATTGCTGAGCTACTGTCATTTGTCAGAGCGGGGTATAGCTGAGATCCTACCTCAAGCCTTCTTGTAGCACCAACATTCAGTTTCTTACCCTAAAGTCTATTAACCAAGAAAAGAGCACACAACTAGACTGAGGGAGACAGTTATTTTTCACAGTTGAAGTCTCCTTTATTGTTCTTCCTTTGTTTTACTGAAATATATCTACCTGATATATAGATATATTTGCACATCTTCTCCAGAATTGCCTTTTTAGAAGGAAAATTATTGGAAAAGATAAATCTGTGTTAATTGATGCTGAGGGCAGATGGTTATTAAAAGAGATTTTAAATTAGCCTTATTAGGAAAGGGAGAAGGAATGAGTGAGTGAGTGAATGTATAAATACATCATCTTTGGATAGCACTCACATTTAAAATACATGACTTTCTGTTCCAGGTGAATTCTGGAAGTCCTCTGATATGCGATAACATTTTCGGAGGTGTCACTTCCTTTGGGAAGTGTGGTAACTGCCAGAATCCTGACATTTTCATGCTTCTTACAAAAAAACGTCTCGAATGGATAAGGGAAACCATTCGAGGAGCTATGTGACATGCTGCCTTCAAAGTAGAGAGTTGAGGTAACCACCTGGAGACATGAAGTAAAGGAGGTTTTAACTTGGCCTATCCCAAGAAGGACCTCATCAACCCTCTTAACTTGATGTACAAATCATAGCTTATCTGGAACAAAACCAGCCAATAAAAAAAATTGCTTCCTGCTTTCACACCTACTTGATCAGTTAAGAGTGCATCATCACACTTATTCTCTATCCATGGCAGAGATGTCCGATGAGAAAAATTCCCCGGTTCAGTGACTCTGTGCTTTATTTAGAATTTTAGGACTGCCAATTTTGTGTTTGTTCTTAAAAGGAAGTCAAGCCTGGGAAAATTTAAAATATTCTTCATTCATCCAAATGGTACTCCAAAATATCTGTGACCCTCTGAATTACAGCCTGTTATTCTATTCAATGGCAGTTTATACATGCAAGCACTGAGCTTAAATCTGGTATTCTCAATAAATTGGATAATAATAAAGAAAAATGGCTTCTTTTACCATGTACTATTTATATCTCATCTTTTTTGTGCTACTGTTAAACTCCAAAGAGCTGATTTAAAATAAACTCCTTCTATAAAAATTCTGGAGCCTTTCGGTGGCACAGTTAAACACTCGACTACTTGCTGAAAGGTTGGCAGTTCAAACCCACCCAGAGGAACCTCAGAAGACAGGCCTTGTGATCTGCTTCCGAAAGGTCACAGCCTTAAAAACCCACACATGGGGTTACCATGAGTTGGAAGTGATTCGTCAGCAACTAACAACAACGACATAATGATTCTGATTTATCCAATTCAATTCATCAAATATTTCTTCAAAGTCCTCTGTGTGGCAGGCATTATGACCAGCAGTGTAATTACAGAAGTAACCAAAATGTGATCACTGCCCTCAGAGTGCTCAAAGACTAGTAGATGACAAGGAGAAAGCCATAAATAAAAGGATATTTACTTCAGGTTCTCAAGAACACATAGCAGAGCAAAGCTTTCTACTGTGTTAAGAAGTTGATGCGGGAAAAGATAGATTTCACACTTTCATCAGCCATCACAATTAGCCCCAGTAGTCTTCTTCCTGAGCTCTGCCCTATATTTAGACAGACGCATAAAAATTTCAGATTCCTGACTAGAATTGCCACAGACATCACAACAGCCTGGTAGAAAGAGCACTGGCCTACAAGTCAGAAGCCAGCTTCATCACTAAATAGTTGTAATACTTTGAACAGGGAATTAGTCTGTGCTTTCATTTTCACATCTTTAAACTGAGAATAGTAACAAAAGGGTCTAAAATGAGATGTCCTCAGAATTTGATTTCATGTGATTTCTGAAGAAGTAACCAACAGGTCTGAAGTTACCAGAGTGTTAACTATGAGGTTGGTTAATTCAACACTAAATATCCTGACAGAACATATAAACATATGTATTATAATAAATAGCACATCCTTAGCTCAAAAGAGGAGCTCAACACATTTCTAATAGAAAGCAAACTTTTTACTGTTCCTTCAGCAGCTGGGATTGATACTTCTTAGAGTGAGACATTCTCCAATGTGACAGCCAAATAGCTGTGTCTGACTCCCATTTTTCTTTCTCAGCTGATTCTGGAAGGAAGGAGGGAGTGAGAAAAGAAGGAAGGAAGGAAAGAGATACTTTCATATGTCTAAAGTTGTAAAAATCAAACAATCAGAAGAGGCACAACCAGAAGACTGGGTAGGGGTGGTTACTACTACTGAACATTTTTATCAAAGAGTCTATAGAAGAATCATTATCAAAAGGGGGGAAGTGTGGAACAGAATTTCAAATCTCAGGGAATCCAGGCTTTCTGGAGCCCTTAAGGCTGGATGAACCTCCAAAGTTTTTGCCCTGAGATAATCTTTAAACCTTAATTCATAAACCAAAAATATCCCCCAAAGACTTCTTTAAACCAAGCAATAGTTTAGCGTAATTAGTAAAGAATATCTGCCTTGAGCAATGTTATCAAGAACTATCTATATGGCATAAAAGAACTTTATAGAACTATCTATATGGTATCAAATTGACAACAGCAACAGAAAGGTTATATAGGAAGCTTAGGGGGTAGTGAGTTTATTTCAGTGGGGAAGAAACAATTTGGAAAAGGAGAGTGAGAATGGTTGCACAACTTAAAGAATGTAATAAATGTCACTGAAGTGTACATATAGAAATTGTTGAATTGGTGTATGTTTTGCTGTGTATATTTTGAATAGCAATAAAAAGAAAGTTGGGAAGGGGCCATACCAGCCTGTGATCCTACACCTGCCATACACTCCAGGCAGCGGCATAGCAAACCATCCTCCACGAAGCAGGGAAGGGAAATCAAGGAACTTAATAGTAAATAAGCCTCCCTCCTGCTTCTCCACTCATGCTTGTCCTATTAATCCCAGGTAACTCAAGAAGACAGCTAGAAAGAAATTTGGTTGGCGGCCAATTTTTCAGACATTTATTAAAGCTCCAATTTAAGGCTTAAAAGAGCTTCCATTCATGGATACTCTTCTTGGGTACTATGATCTGATGGCAACAAAGTCCTCTTGCCCCCACCAGCATGTTGACTTACAAGACTTCACCTCAGCCTCCTGGCAGCGGCAAGCTTGCTCGCTGGTAATGAGAGATTATTCACTGTTCTCACTTAGGTTTCGATTCCTAATGCGAACTCTGAAACTGCAAAGAAAGGAATGGAAACCACATCCTTTGTACTCTCAATACATAGGTTAGCAGCAGTCAAGAACAAAAAACAGATTTTCACATTGATTAATGTGGGGACACCAGCCACAATGAGGAACTCCTGCACATTTCTGGCATCCATTCTGTCGATTGTCATTTTTCTCCTGCTAATTCCTGAAGGTAAGACTGATTTTTGTAGTTTCCATTATAACCATTAAGCAAATTGGAGCAAAGTTTAAATTAATATTTTGCAACATTACTTAAGTCTACTAAGAGAATATTTTTTTTCCCCGAGCCTTGAAATGTTTAGGATTCTTTCTTGGCTTCTAAACATGTTATCTTTATTTTAGAAGGAAAACATTCTCCTTTCTTCCTTACAACTTCTCCTTTACAATTTCCTTACAAAAGATCATAGAACTACTTGTGTGTACTACTACCAATTTGTAGCTTGAAAATTGCCCAAAAAGACCATGTAAAAACAAGCAAACAAATTCAAAAAGGTCCTTGACCTTGGTCTCCGGGAACATCTAGCTCAATTGGCATAACACAGTTTATAAAGACAACGTTCTACATTCTACCTTGGTGAGTAGCATCTGGGGTCTTAAAAGCCTGTGAG